AGCCCGCTTCACCTCTCTCTCTTTCTCTCTCTTTCTAGCAACTCAAAGGACAAAATGAAGACCACGACAGAAGCACCAAAGAAACTGCAGGAAAAGAGAAGAAAAGGCCAGTCAAAAACCACGCACACATTGCACACATGGCCGTCCCTGGGGCATTTACACTTGTCCACGTAGGCTTAATCCCCTTGAGGGACCAGGGAAAAGGACCTCTCTGTAAACAGGGATCAAGGTCCGCTCCTTGCCAAGAGAAACGCTTTATGGGCCCATTCCGCACCTGCGGCTGAGAGACCACCCTTTAAGAAGGGTTGAGGTCTCTGTGGATTTCAGCTCTTTCGGACTTAGTCTTTAACATGCCCTGTGCCACTGACCTCTCCCTGTAAGAAGGGTGCAGGTCTCCCCTTTCTAGCTTGTCTTGGGCCGCTGGCACTTGCTGGGCAAAGAGACCACCCTCTACTGAGGGGATGGAGGTCTCTCCTTTTCAGTGCTCTTGGCTCTGGCCCATTGAAATGCCCCTGGCTTAAGGACCACCCTGTAAGGAGGGTTTGGGTCTCCTTCGCCAGGCTTATTTAGCCACAGGTCACCTTAACACGCCAGGCAAAAGACTGCCCTGTAACCAGGGTTTAAGGTCTTATCCCTCTCGTTCTTAAACTAGGAGAGCCTCTTTGTGCCTGTGGCCGAGTGACCCCCCTGTAAGAAGGGTTGAGGTTCTACTTCTGTTAGTCGCAGGAAATTCCCCTAGAGTGATTTCTATTTGGCTTTTTTGGGCTTTGACGTGAAATCTTATTTGTGACCCGTGTAGTTCCTCTCCGGGTCACATGTAACCTGGTGTGGCGAAGGGGCGGCTGTAAGGGGATGGTGGAGGCCGTGAAAAATTCGACCCTTCTTTCCCAGAGAGCCAAGAAATCGTCCCAAATTCCGTATGTCACAAAGTCTGGAACTGAACAGGTGAGGAAGGGGGCTCCTTTCAGAGCCTCACTTCCATGCAATCCTTCCTCATTTCCTCTTGCCCTGCCCAACTGACACTGCCCAATCAACCTCAGCTTTGAGCCCTTGTTTGACTCGGCACAAGAAAGACATGGCTGCACGTATCATTGTTAGTGGTATAGATTCGGAGAGCTGTGTACGTTGTGTCCCATTTCCAGGCCTTTTGTTTCTCGGGTGATAGACCCAGGCTATTCCTAGGGCTGTGTTTGAAGTGATTGATGTGGCTGTCCTTTCGGAAATGTGCTGATGCTCAGCTGGGGTAGGTACGTGGCATGGTATTCAGAGCTTGCACGTGGGTGCACCTAACCCTACTAACAGGACTGTGTCACAAGTAAGGGGTGTCTTTTTTGGTCACGGTCAGGGGGCACAAAGTTGAAATTTTCTTGGTGGGGTAGGAAGGTAAGTCGGGAAGGGTGTTGCCGAGGAATGGAGGATTTAATGGTAATGGGAGACTCAGCGGGATTCCTCCCTTACCTGTTCATTTCCAGATCTTTTCCCATTGGGGACTTTCCTCCCCTTCTTTAAAGGAGGACTATTTTTCTAAAGAAAGGGTGACCGCCCTATACTCAGGGATCAGGTCTGTTTCCCTTTTCTCCTCTCGGCATTGGCCCTCTTAATGCCAAAGTTACTGGCTGGGCAAAGAGACCCTCCTCTACCGAGGGAATGGAGGTCTCTCCTTTTCCGCGCTCTTGGCAATGGCCCATTGAAATGTCCCTGGCTTAAGGACCACCCTGTAAGGAGGGTTTGGGTCTCCTTCGCCATGCTTATGGCGCCACGGGTCACTTTGACACGCCAGGCAAAAGGACTGCCCTGTAACCAGGGTGTAAGGTCTTACCCCTCTCATTCTTGAACGAGGAGAGCCTTTTTGTGCCTGTGGCTGAGTGACCCCCCTGTAAGAAGGGTCGAGGTCACTCTGGCTTTCTATTATTTAGGACCCAGCCTTTGCAATGCCCTGTGCCATTGACCTCTCCCTGTAAGAAGGGTGCAGGTCTCCCATTTCTAGCTTGTCTTGGGCCGCTGGCACTTGCTGGGCAAAGAGACCACCCTCTACCGAGGGAATGGAGGTCTCTCCTTTTCCGCGCTCTTGGCAATGGCCCATTGAAATGTCCCTGGCTTAAGGACCACCCTGTAAGGAGGGTTTGGGTCTCCTTCGCCATGCTTATGGCGCCACGGGTCACTTTGACACGCCAGGCAAAAGGACTGCCCTGTATCCAGGGTGTAAGGTCTTACCCCTCTCATTCTTGAACGAGGAGAGCTTTTTTGTGCCTGTGGCTGAGTGACCCCCCTGTAAGAAGGGTCGAGGTCACTCTGGCTTTCTATTATTTAGGACCCAGCCTTTGCAATGCCCTGTGCCATTGACCTCTCCCTGTAAGAAGGGTGCAGGTCTCCCATTTCTAGCTTGTCTTGGGCCGCTGGCACTTGCTGGGCAAAGAGACCACCCTCTACCGAGGGAATGGAGGTCTCTCCTTTTCCGCGCTCTTGGCAATGGCCCATTGAAATGTCCCTGGCTTAAGGACCACCCTGTAAGGAGGGTTTGGGTCTCCTTCGCCATGCTTTTGGCGCCACGGGTCACTTTGACACGCCAGGCAAAAGGACTGCCCTGTAACCAGGGTGTAAGGTCCTATTCCTCTCGTTCTTAAACTAGGAGCACCTCTTTGTGCCTGTGGCTGACTGACCCCCCCTTTAAGAAGGGTTGAGGTTCTACTTCTGTTAGTCACTGTAAATTGCACTAGAATGATTTCTACTTGGCTTTTCTGGGTTCTGAAGTGAAATCTCATTTGTGTCCCATGTGTTTCCTGTTCGGGTCACATGGAACCTGGTGTGGCGAAGGGGCGGCTGTAAGGGGATGGTGGAGGCCGTGAAAAATTCAACCCTTTCTTCAAAAAAGCCAAGAAATCACCAAAGTCCAAAGTGAGCTCCCTCTAACTAGGGTGTAGGTCTTTCCCTCACTTTCCCAAGATTACACTCCCCTTTGAAAGCTAGTTACAGAAACCAGCCTCTTGAGAGAGTTAAGGGTTTGCCCTTGTAGCTGCCCTGAGCCCGTGGCCTCCTCACGCTCTCAGCCAAGTCAAAGCCCGGCGTACTCTGCATCCAGCTGGCCCTGACTTCTGCTGCAAGCTCTCCTGCCTTCTGCTACGGATTGGTGCCGAAACCTAGGAATTGGGGTAATTTCAAGGAGGGGCGTGGACCATGTCCATTTAATCTGAATTGACCTTGGAATCGTGGGGTCCACTGAGCCCGCTTCACCTCTCTCTCTTTCTCTCTCTTTCTAGCAACTCAAAGGACAAAATGAAGACCACGACAGAAGAAACTGCAGGAAAAGAGAAAAAAATTCGTATATTTTTCCCTTAGTCTTTTGTGAAGTAGTGTATTAAATATCCCTATATTTTTGTTCCTCTCTTTATCTTGTGCATTGTTAATAAGCCACATGTTTTAACAAACTGTAACTATCAAATACAGAATGGTATGGTGAAGTTGTTAGAAGGCTGATATAAATCAAATTTAAAAAGGAAAGAAATAAATGGCAGTCTCAGTGTGGCTAGCTCCTTTAAATGAAGTGGGTCCAGTACCTCTGTTCCAGCACCGGTGCGTCTCATATTGACTCGATTGAGAGAGTGGGGTGGCTTTTGAGGCTAATAAATGAGTGGACGTCTGCTGTGAAAAAGGGGAACGTCCCTGGAAGAAGATGGGAGGTTGGTTGGGGAAGGACAGTTACAGGAGGGGTATGAGTCCTAGAACAAGGGCCACGCTCTAGAGAAGCAGCTCTGGGGCCTGTGTTCATGCAGAACAGAAAAGGAGAGCCAGAGCAGGGAGGCTGAGAAGGGGTAGGGGATATGTTAGCATTGCAATACAAAACCCATAGCTGGCCTAGGTCGCTGACTCAGGGTTCATGGTTTGGGCTCCAGGGTTATAAAACTGCAGTGTAGAGTTTGGGCTCAGGGCTGGAGCTCAGTTTCTGAGATCCCACAAGTGGGGTGTTCCAAAACTGAGGCTGCAGTGTGAGCGTCTACACTGCAATTTTATAACCCCACAGCTTGAGCCTGACTCAGCTGACCTGGGCCAGCCGGAGTCTTTTATTGCAGGGTAGCTGTATCCTAGGAGACCAGAGGGGGACTATCCTGATGGCCTTTCCGGGCAAAGGCTTGAAAGTCAGGAAGAAGCTGCAGAAGGACTTTGGCTGGGGTGTATTTTCTGACAATAGGACAGATGGGGACCAAAAGAAAGCCTGGGTGTGGCAGAACATGCCAGAGCTGGGATATGAGGTGTGCTGTTGGACTGTGGTTTGGCACTCTCATGGACTACATGCATTCTGTGTGGGATAAACTGACTGTGTTTGGGGCTTCCAAGGACTGTGTGTGTTATGTGGAATAATAAACTAGCCCTGAGAAGGGGTAATACTGGACACAAGAGACCACCTGGTGGAATCTTTAACGAGCATGAGAGGGGAAGCTGAGGCAGTTACCCTGACATTGTTGTGCCCACCTGCAAGGAGGCACTGGGAGGGGAGGGAGAATTGTGGCAAGCAGAACAAATGTATGATGCTAAACATTTCAATCACAACAAAACCTGTCCTCCACTATACAGCAATGGTGCTATTCCTGCATAGAACACTCTGGGCTACATCCTCCCGTCCTTACTGCAGCAAAACTCCTGTTGACTCCAAAGAGACTGTGCTTGGCTCTATTACCACTTCAGAAAAACATCACACTTCATCTGAAAACTAGAATTCTGTGTAACCACAACACATAATACAATTCTACTGTGCAGTAAAAGTGAGTGCTAGATTGGTGGGGAACTAGTTGTCTCATCATCTCATGGTATAGATCACCTCAGGGAGTTTGCTGGTTAAATCTGGCTCCTGGGTTGGTAGTAACTGAAAGCTACCAGCTGATGGTGCTATGGTGCCCTACTTGTGAGGTCTCAAGTTTTAATTCCAGCAGCAATATTCTAATTGGGCCACATCACATGTGACAAACACCTGCACTTCCATAATGTGTCCAGATCAGCAGTGCCCTCTGATGGATACTGTCCATGCCAGATATGCTATGAGGTGCAATAATATCACCAACTGGCTACAAAACCCAGGGCAGCACTCCCTAGAAGAATAAACAGGGTTCTGGGTCAAGTACTGCACTGGGGGAGATGGGCAAATCTGTGCTGCTTTTTGCTGGTGCTGGATTAATGCACAGATGCACTAGGCCCAGCCCTTAAAATTCAATTATTTAAAAACTAGATGAAAACCAGGCCCCAATTCACCATTGGCCTGCCTATAGGGTACCCACGTGCAGCAGGGACAGGTGGGTGCGAAATGCTGCCTGGCTCCCTTGGAAGCCTTTTGCTTTCACGGTGCGTCGGTGCAAATGAGAACACGCGGTGCAGGGTAACATGGGCCCCATGTTTTTAGACTAGAAATGTCTCTTACATCACCACTTTAATGTAAACTAATGTAGGAAAGTGCACTGCCCGAATTCCTGCCCCTCAGCCGCCTGGACCCGAACATTCAGCGCTGCGGGCCTAGCCTGGCTCACCCAGATTTCCCGAGTTAGTCCTAAGCGTTGCACGTGTTCCGGTCCAAGAGGTGAATGGGGCTGAATTGCTTGGCAATAGCCACCACAATACAATTAAATGTAACGTCCTTGCCAGGGCAGGGGTCATTCCAAAGCCCCCGGGGGCATTTAATTGCCAAAAGGCCAGGTGCAGGCGGAGGCTAGTTACCTGGCAATGGGAAGGATCAGTGCACACGCTGCCTGGAAACCCGTTACACGGTCCATGGATGTTTGCCTTGGGCTAGGTAAGGAACTGGGCAGCGAGCCAGCCTGCTTCATCCCCGCGCGGCCGGGCTGGCAGCGGAGCTCCCCGGCGGGGCTGGGCCGAGCCGAGCGCGCAAACACCCACCCCACCCGCTCGGGCCAGGCGGCGGCGGCGGCTCTCGGGATCCATGGAGACGGCGCGGGGCTCCGCGGCCTCCCTCCCGCCGGCCGGACTGTTGGTCTTCGCCGGCTCCGCCGAGCGCGACGTGGCCTTTGCCAAAGCCTTCTGGAACTCGGTGACCCTGCAGCCCCCGCTGGAGTCCCGCCTGGGCCCCGGGGGGCCGCGGCCTCGAGAGACCCGTGAGAGACCCCCCTGCATCCCGCCCCCAGACCTGGGCGGGAGACACCCCCGCACTCCCCCTTCTCCCCCTAGCAGTGGGGGGGGAGACACCCCCCCGCATCCCCCTTCTCCCCCCAGACCTGGGCGGGAGACACCCCCCGCATCCCCCTTCTCCCCCCAGCAGT